CGGGCACACGGACAGGCAGACGGGCGAATAGTCCTTCTGGCAGGGATTAGATGGCCTCAGGCCGGTTTGCCCAGTTGAGACGCCTTGAGCAGGCAGTCACATGTGGCCATTAGTCACGCTAGCCAGAGGACACAATTAACCGAACCCACACACACGTACGCACTTGTGCATTGACACAGGAGTGCACGTACAGACGCCGGGCAGGCTGAGAAAACGCCAGCTCACCTGAGCGAAAGGCTGACGGCTGCGTGATTTGCCGGTCAGCCTGCTACATGCAGCTGGTGTCGCAGCGCGCGTGCGCATTGCGGCAGGCGACTAGGCGCCGAGACAGACAGAGGCCGCCGGCTGCCGGCTCGAGTGACAGGCTGACAGTCGAATGGGCGTCCTCTCGTGTCAACTGAGCCGGACTGACCGACCGCCAGACACACAGACTGACTGACAGACAGATCGACGGAGGGACCTATTGCAGAGCCGGCCCAAGGCAGGCCTGTTAACATGCGTGCGGCGGCAGTCGACATGTGTGTGACGCGAGCAGGCGTCGCGCAATCCCCTGGGGCTGACCGCCAGACTGACGCACTCGGGTCACAGGCCTCCTGTCAGTAATAGCCATCAGGGCAGGCCGGCTTGACACGCACCCTCTCTCTCTTTCACTCTGTCTACCTTTATATTTCTCTCTCTCTCTCTATCTCTCTCTCTCGCCTCGCTTCGCTTCGCTTCGGCTCATCCGGCCTCGCTTCGCCTCCTCTCGCCATGCCCTGCCCTGCCCTGCCATGCCATGTCATGCCATGCCATGCCAGGCCCCGGCACGGCAGGACACACGAGCAGACACTCGGCTGGCACACCGGTCCGGATCAGAGCAAGGCCGTGGTGAGAATAGCTCTCAGACGTTCGTCAGCCAGACATCCCGAATCAGGCATGCTCGTTGAGGCAACAGATATTGAGAGACCGGCACACTGATGCACCGACGCTGCCTGCGCGTCGTAACGCCCACCTCCTCGCCCGCGTTCCATCTCTCTCTCTGTGTGTGTGTGTGTGCCCATCTATCACTCAAACTAACTAACTATCTCTCCATCTGTCAGTTTGGTCAGCCAGCGAGTGTGTGTCGTCTGTCTGTCGGCGGGGCGGCATCCGGCTAGTCCGGCTAGAGCGGCGTGTGTGTGTCGCGTCACAATTCACGCGTCATTCCGTTCCATCAAACCGGCCTGCAAGGTAGTGCAACAATAGCGGCCTATTTGAGAGGCCGTCTTCTCGCCTGAGGTGGTTGGTTTGACGCAGGCCAGCTGATTGGCGCTTAATTGGACAGGCACCTCCTGCTCGCACTCGAGGCGGCCCGGATGGCACGCCTTTTGCCCGCCGGCCCGCACACCCTAGCCGAGGCGCGCAGACACACACTCACCCGCGGCGCACACACCGCGCGGCGCACGCCCTGCGCACACGACACGCACACGCACACGCACACGGCCCGGTCGCGCAAGCGGGCAATTTCGTGCAGTGCTCCACTCTGATCCACAGCCAGCGCCGTCTGGCACCGCGACCCGCCTGCTCGAGCCGCTCGCCCCGCGCGTCCGCACCGCCTCGCAGGCCCCAGCCGCTGGCCGGCCGCTCGACACGCACCCGCCGCCAGCTCGTCGCCAGCGCGCCTCCAACTCACCCGCCCCATCGGCAAAAACTGTGACAAACCTCGAATAACGGGAAATGTACACACACGCGTCTGTGGTGCGACAACCCTCTTCTCGCCACCTCACACCAGCTGACCTAACCTGAACCCATCCCACCCACCCCACCCAACCCAACCCAACCCCACCCCAGCTCTGAGTCGCAGTGTTTTCGCATGACGCCGGCGTCTTTCGCGGCTGCCGGCTGTGCTGCTCACCTCCATTGCATTTCACGGCCCGGCAACTGCAGCCTTTGAGCCGCACAACAATCGACGACTCGACTGCCCCACCACTCGGCCCCGCTTTCGCTTCGTCATGGGCCTCCTCCCACAAGTCAACGCACAGGATGTACTCGCCCTTCACTGCCCCCTCTGCGCTTTCCACAGTCACTGGCTCAACCTGCTGGAAGCTCACTTCAGTCGTCACCATGGCGCCAGATCGGCCGAGTTCCGACTCTACCAGTGCTCCAAGTGCCATAAGATCGCCTCTTCAAAAGCATTTCTGTCCGAACACCTTGTCCTACACCATCGGTCCGGTGGCAAGGCGAAAACGACGCGTTGGAGCCGTTTAGACAGCCTCGATGCAAGACCCGGTTGCCGTGACAACGGACACTATGAGGCGGATTCGCCTCCTGGCGACGTCGTGAGACGGGCCGAGTCTGTTAATCAGCCACTGGCCGACGCCACGGAAACTAGTGGCTTGGAGAGGCTGGCGTCGAAATCGCCTGACAACGAGCCGGGCTACATCATCACCTTTTTTCGGGGCCACCTTTGCGCACATGCGCCCAGGCCGACAGAGTCTTCAACTGAGTCCCGACGAGACGGTCCTCCCGGCACGACCGATATTGACGCGACCGAGGCGAACGATCGGCCCGTCCACTTGGAGACGACCGCCGCCTGTCGTCATTGTTCGCCAGGCCGCCGGGCGCACAATCGTTTCGCCGGACTCGGACTCCGGCATCAGTGCCTCTTCTGCCCGTTCACCAGCGCCCAGCCGGCCCGATTGGCTAGGCACTACGTGGAGCACGGCATCCGTCGTCTCCAGTTTTTCACCGCCCCCTCGGCAGATGCGACCGATCGGCCCAAGACGAACGGCGGTCCGGCCTCGATGAAGGCGCCTGAGGCGGATGAGGCGGAAGAGGAGTGTCCGCAGGCCTCGGTTGCCGAGGCAGGCAAGGGAGAGACGACAGACGCCGGACCAGACCCAGACGGCGACCGAGCTGAAGATGACGAGGTAGACGACAATCAGGTCGTCAAGGCAGCCGGAGGTGAGACAAAGAAGCCTGTGTCCGAGGGCTTGCTGGATGATAATGGTCAAATGAACTACGCAAAAAGCAGTCCCGATTCGGCTGACCTCAAGAAACGATGTGAAGCCATGCCATCGATGCTGTTGCCGGACCATCGTGGCAGGAGACAGGTGGAGAGTCGAATGAAAGGGAGACCGATTACACGTTCGTCGCGGAGGCAACAGTTTGTAGAAGAGCCGAAGGTAGCACTGAAGGACTCGGAACTGACGTCGAGGCTGACAGACGGGAATCGGGATGAGGAGGAGGATGAAGATGTTGGTGATGAAGATGAAGATGGTGATGATGATGAAAATGCTGATGATGATGATGAAGAGTTGGATGAACAACATGATCACGAACAGCAGCAAGACAAGGAGCAGGCAAGTGTGGACAACGTAGAGGAGGCCGATAAGGAGGCGGAGAAGAGATTAAAAAAGAGAATGAGCCGGCAACAAGGCCGAAGAAATCGAAAACGACGCGGAAAACGTCAGCTTCTGGAACAGGCCATCCATCGCAACCTGATTGGTGTGACCAGTTCTCCGTTGGCGGCTGTCCACGAGCTATCCGAGGTAAATTTTAACTTTCCCGACACCCTCATCTTGCATTGTTTGTGTTGTAAAAGTTGATCTGTCCTGTCGCTGGACGAGGGGACGTGGAAATCTGAAGTAGCTTTGCAGAACAAAAGTAAACTACATAAAAATCGCATTTCATATAGCCTTTTTATAGAAATATGAATACAAAAGGAGGGCACATTGCTTAAACTTAAACACACATTCGCACACTCCAAGATGGGGATAGACAGGCTTTCCAGCTATGATGCTGTCCGTTAAGATGAAAATTGTCCCAGGGCTTACGTCGTTCTGTATGCCATAATAAAATCAAGCTACCCCAGACCGACCCGACTCCACCATATACTTAGGTCGAGGTCGACCGACTAGTCCTTTTAGCGCACACTTGTAGACGAGAAGTGAAGGTGAGTTCAACAGTGAAATGTTGCGAATGTTGAGGGCTTCCGGTATCTCGATGAGGATGGTGATACGGTGTTGCTAAGCGGTTAGTGGTTGTTCTGTCGAACCACATTAGCATGACAGGATCCTTGAAATGTTTGACTTTATTGCGACATTCGCCTCGGTGGGACCTAACTTTTCCCATCGACATGAGGCCAGGCGAGACAACAGTAGTGCATATAGTGCAAGGAGCAAATTGGGAAAATTGAAATGTTTCAACAAATTGAAATTCAAATGAAAGTATCTCTGATAAAAAGATTCCAACGTCGATCTCACCGTAAGGC